CTTTATGCACTGAAGATGGGATTTTCAAAAGCACTCAGCATTGACCTAATTTTTGCTCCCATTGAAGTCAATAGGAATTTTATCCTTGACTTTAATAGCAGCAGAGTTCAGACAAAACTGAGTGCTCTGAAGGACCCCACCCTGAAGATCATGGCTCCGCTCCAGAATAGGAGGTAGAAGTTGGAAAGCAACAAACTTTCCTAGTCATGGGCCCAAAAAACTCATCCCAAATAACTCTCTCTATCCTTCATTTTTTAATGTTTGTATTTAGACTCTTTAGGCAGGCATCTTTCTTCTTAAGTGGTTTTAAAACACCTCATTCACTTCTGGGTACTAGAGTAATACTTTTAAAAATATATGTGTGAGAGAGTGGGGAGAAACAATGGAAGAAAAGAATGGAAGTCGTTACAAAAATAAAAGGTATCACACTTTCAAAGTGCATCCATTTTTCAAAGCTTATATTATAATTTGTTTTTTTATCTGAAATTTACACTACCCACAGGTTTTTATCTTGAATTCAGCATAGCTATTTGGTTATTTGACAATTTAATTTAATGATGCTGTACCTTTCTGCATCCACTAGAAAGCATGCTGTGCTTTCCTGTATCCACTAGATGGAACTCATCTCCTTACACAGAGAAGTGAAATCATAGGGTGAAATCCTGGCCCCATTGAACTCCCATTTATGGGAGTTTTGCTACTGATTTTAGAGGCCAAGATTTCACCCAGAGCATCTGCTGCTGTGAGGGGCCAAATACTGAATGCAATGGGAGCCGAGGTGCTCAGCACCTTTCAGGATCAGGCTTTTATTCCCTTAGATCAGCACACACTGATTTTATAATTTGTGATCTATAATGACTCTTTTTCTCCACAGCTCCTTTCAATTATCCCATATTCCTAATGCCCAAATCCTATATTGTGAGAGACTGCTCTAGTTTAGGACTCTTTGAGAACAGAGGAAAGTGCACTCAAGTCATGACAGGTAAGGATATGTTTACACTTACATAGCGCCTTTCAGATGAGGATCTCACACCACTTTACAAACCGGGTAATTATCCCCATTTTATAGATGGGCAAGTTACGGCTTAAAGAGATTAAATGACTTGCCCCAAGGTCACATAAGCTCAGTCAGTAGCAGAACTGAAAATAGAATCCAAGATTCCAGACTCCTGGCCCTATGCCTTAGCCAGTTAGATCTTCTTGATCACTGGTCCCCTGCTCTAGCCACTAGAGAACATTCATAAATAAGTGGAGGAACAGACCAGTCAATAGTATGGAAGATCACAGGGTACAAGAAGTTAAATTGTAACAGTCCATCCCTCTAAAACTTGTAGAAAAACTGTTAACCACTCCTATTCTGCCTTTTTCTCCATTCTTTCTCAGGGTTAGGCTCATAGGTACCTGAGACACTTAGTAAGGCACACTGGTGGGTATGTGGCCCACTGTATTATGACTTTTTTTGTTTGTTGTTCAGATACCGCTGTTCACTTTTCTCAGGAAAGCTAGAGAAGCAGATATACGGGGATGTAGGCAAGTGACAATTCATGTAGACCAAGTCTGCCAAGTACCCAAGAGTTTAGGGGTTGTTGTAATTTAGCAGTGGTTCAAATTTTACAAGTGTGTCTCTACTAACCAACCCCTTAGATAGGAATAGCCCTGAATTGTGCAGACCTCCAAATGCAGATCTGAACTCTGAGGCTTGAGCCTATCTTGATTTGCAATAAGATACTACACTTCTTGCAGTGGGGAATGGTAGATAAACATGTTTTCCAGATGGACTGATTTAATGAAGTAGACAGAGCACAGGTTGTTCAAACAGGAAGTGATTTTCCACTTAGTTTACCTAGTCTTTAAATGACAGATGAGTGAGTGTGATCAATCCCATGTTGTCTCAGCAACTCTCTCCAACTTGGAGAGAATGTTTTCTTTCCTCCTGTCGTATTAGAAAAATCTCTGTCACACACACGGGGCCTAATCTTTTTCCCACTGATGTCAAGGAGATTTTTGCCATTGACTTTTACAAGAAACAGGCTCCTGGGGATCAAGGATCTATTTATCTGCCTATAATTATGAGCCACTAAAATCCAACTTAAATGACATGAACAAGACACTACAATTAACACTGACTTCTACCATTTAGCAGTAGACTTTTTACAAACTCTACAGCTATATTGTTCAAACCAGCTGATATTTTCCTTGGACAAGGTGGGGAAAGTGCAGAAAATAATTTAAATGGTATCTTTATTGAGGTATTCTGTCCTATTTGCTTACTGCTGCTAATGTGCTTGACCCCTCTAAAATACCCAAAAATAAAAGCAGTCTCTGACCTAGAGAGCTTAGTGTCTAAACAATAAAAAGATAGGTTGTACTAGGAAAGCCAGTGATGGGGAGGCTGATAAGGTAAATAAAATACTACATATGTGAAAAATAAATGTAGTAAACTCTAGCTAGATGCTAACATTTTGCATACAATGGTTTCATTTCAACTCTGAGAACCAATGAATGGGACAGATTTTATTGTAACTATCAAAATGCCTACTAGCAATTTGTTGAATTTGATAGGATTATCATGCAGCATGTTAAATTATCTGGAATTTGTTATAACTCAAATAGGCTAAATTCTGTCTGAAAGAAGATAATTCCCACTTCCTTTTTCCAAGACTATATTTTGGCATCCATATCCCAATACGCAGCATTTGACAGTAGTAAATATTTTGTAAGTGTTGTTAAAGAATACAACTAGCAGAGTGTAACCAGAATTAACCACCTGATTTTGTATTTATTTCAAAAATAGACATGCAGTAGTTTATGCTTCTCATTTGCCTGAGTACGCATCAGCATTTCTCCTTTTCCCTCTTCTATTTTTTGCTTCCTTCAGTATCTCTGACACATAAAGTAATGCATTTTAAAACACCACTGGGTTTCCTTTGTTCTAGCCCACTTAAACACATCTCAGTAGCTTTCAGAGTGTTCATTTTGCTTCTTCAAAAGATATCCATTAATTTAATAATAATACATTGCACTTATATTGCCTTCCACCTAAAGCACTTTATAAATGTTAATTAACTGCACAATTTTTTTTGTCAGTAAGGAGGAGCAGCCCTATTTAGGGCCTGATCCAAAGTCCACTGGAGCTTATTAGAGTCTTTTCACTGACTTCAATGGGCTTTGGATCAGACTCTCACACATGGAGAAACTAAAGCACAGAGAGATTAAGTAACTTTACTAAGGTTACACAAAAAGTCTGCAGCAGACTTTTGAACCCAGAGCTCCCATTTCAGTGTCTTAACTGCATGACTGTCCTTCCTCCCTTTCAACCTCTGTGACTACAATAGACGAGAGGTTCATGCAATAGTGTACACTAATTTTGGGGACCACACAGAGAAACAACAATCCCCCATTGAGTTTCTGTACCCACCCTTTCCTCAGTTCATGTTTTTCTATGCCATTGCATTTTGGGGCAGAGAGGGACCTAATTTTATTTTTGTGGTTTATTTTTTTCCCAAGGAATTTTACGTGAGTGGATGAATAAGAGTTATGGTCATTTACATGGGGACAAATAGAAGAGATGATCTCTATGATAATTGAGTTGTAGCTAATTTGGGTACGGCTGAAAACAACACAAGAAGACCCCATCCCACCTGTTGTATTTAGTGGTGCTGCTTGGAAACCTGTCTTCAGAAATCACTAGTTTTGGAGGTCTGAAGAGATTGAGTGGCTCAGTTACTCATCCTAGAAAGCAACAAAGAGTCCTGTGGCACCTTCTAGACTAACAGACGTATTGGAGCATAAGCTTTCGTGGGTGAATAACCACTCCGTCAGACGCATCCTAGGTGTCTTTCAGCCAATCGTGTATGGATCAACACGGGCTGGCTCCAGCAACCTGCTGCTCTTCCTCTCAGACCGGACATACTGCAGACTTGGCAGCTGAGTTGATGAAAGAAGGGGAGGAGGGATGCATGCAGCTATCAGAATTGAGGAGAACCAACACCATACTTGGCTCATATAAATACCACAGCCTCCCCAGTGCCATCCTTTGGTTAAGGGATGAGGGAAAGTCAGAGACAATAAGCAGAGCCCCCTGAAAACGAGAGAACGTCGAACTGAACGAAGGGTCACTGTTGAAAGTGCTGCATGTGAATCTAGTTATCCGCTCCTATTGGAGTTCAAAATTAGCAGGGCTCCGAGGTTAAACTGAAGGATTTAGCTACTGTGTCTAAATGGTCACTTGCCCAACCGCCACCGCCTTCCCTCGGGTTTGGGAAGCCTTAGGCATGAGTTCATGTTTAAACACAAGCGGGCTAGTACTGCAGTCATGCTACCAATGGCCATTAGCATAGACGAAAAACATCCTGCAGGTCAAAGGAGGATTTTCTCTCTCTCTCTCTCTCACACACACAGCACATCCCCCCGCCCCCCTTGCTTTCCTTCATTGTCTTTTAGCTTTGCACGTTTATAGATCCGCCCTATTCAATACTCGGCAAACAAGAACTGGTTTTCAGTACCGATCTCTGGGCCCTGACTGATACCCCGGCCTTCGGCACGAGCAACTGCACCCACACCCTGAGTTGAGGAAGCGTGGTGGGTTAGTGACTGGGGAACACACTGGGAGCCAGCTGCAGTGGCCTGGTTTGTCTGCGCGCCCGGGGGAAGAATCCGGGTGATGCCCGCGGGGGAACCTGCCTGCATGCGCCACCCCTCCGAGTGCCAGCTATCGCCAGCACACACCTTCCCACCCCACAGCAGTGCCCAGCGCGCCCCCCCTCGCCCCACCACCTCCGCCGCCCCTCCTTGTGTTCGCTCAGCTCCAAAGTAACAGCAAACTTAGCTGACACCAAAATTCAGCCAGCGGCAACTCCCATTGGTCAGGCTCAGTCCATTCTCCAGCCTCCCATTTGCAGCCGGCGATGCCTGTCAAAACTCCTCCTTACCGTCCCCTCCCACCCCCTGTCTAATTGCGGGTGCAGGGACTTTCCTAGTTGCTACAGGTAGTCGTGAAGCGAGGGACGCTGCATCGCCCGCTCAGCTACACGGGGCTGCGCGTTGCATGGCTTCTCTCGAGCGCAGGGGAGTTTCTGGGCCGTGCTCTTTTATTATTATTAATACACCCAACTTCCCCGCACGTCCCTTCCTCGCGCTGACAGTGCTGCAGCGAGGCGCGTGAGTTTCCTTTGGTTCCCCCGAGCGCACGCCTAAGAACCCGCTTCTGCCGCGCGGAGTAACTTGCCGCCGCGGAGTTTGTGCGGAGTGGGAGCGTCTCTCCGGGACGCCGCAGCCTGCTGGGGGAGTGACTAGCGCGCCCTTGCCGGGAGCGGGGGCGGACGGACCGGCCTGCAGCGGGGAGGCTCCGATCCCTGGCGGGGCAGCCTGGGGAGCGGACTCGCAGCCAGAGGAAGCGGCCCTGCGCACCGTGTGCCCTTAGGGGAAGGGGGGATGGACCTCGCATTGTTTCTCTGCTAAGCAACTCCTGCCGGGCGCTGGCGCCGCGGAACATGGGCTCTTCGCCTTTGTCTCCCGAGTGAGCGAGCCCTTCGCACGCTGCCTTTGTGAGCCGAGCCCCGCGAACATGGATGTGACCATTTCCGAGCTCATGGAGCTCTTCCTGCAGAGCCCTTTGGTGACCTGGGTAAGTGGCGCCTCATTGTTCTGGGACCTGTGTGCTGGGGCGGGGGCTGCCCGCTCCCCCCGCGTCTCGGGGAGCACCTGGCTGGGTGCCCCGAGGGGCTGGGGACAGGTTAGCGTCCCGCTTCCGCTGCGCGCACACACCAACACCGCTTTTTGATTCTTAAAAGCAACTCCATGCAGAGATCTCTTGGCCAGGCTGAATTATCCCCACCTGGGCGGCTGGCAGGGAAACAGGTTTATGGGTCCTGGTTATTTTAAATAATAATATTAACGGTCTGCTCCAGGAATCGTGCAGTTACAAAGTAGCTCTATTTTTCAACTTTAAATAAAGCTGCCGCAAGTGTCTGCGACCAGTCTGGGGGTCTCCTAGCGATCTGCCTGCAAAACAAAAAGAAACTTTCCTCTCTGAGAGCTAGCGGGTTGTTCCCCTTGTAACAGCGTTTGTTCTTCGGTGCTGCTCACAATAGGTGCTTAGAAGAAAAGGGATTTTGACCTGGGAGGGAGGGGACCATCTTGAAAACAGGAATCCAGTTATTCTGTTGCTACTTACCTGCTTTTCGGAGGTTTGAATGCTAGGCCCAAAGCAACAATACCTTCCAGGATATGATTGTCACATGAACCATAGATAAGTGTTGTGAGATCAGTAATTGGGATGAATCTTTCACGAAATCTGAAAAAGGACCGTGTGGCTCTGAAATGGGGAGCATCAAACCCCACCTTTGGAATGGGGGATGGGAAAGGAGCCTGAATGGTGTAAATCTTGCCCTGGTACAGTGAGAGCAAGGAGCTTTCTTTCTATGAATTTGACATCCGCTACTGGTTGGGAATCTGTTTCAGTCATTTAATTTAAATGTGAACAATGTTGTCAAATAGGCCTGGGCACCCTCAGCCCAAAATATTTGCCCCTGTTGGTGATCAGAGTCACCAGATAAGAACCACTGTCCTTTGCTTTTATGACACAGGTACACAGTTCTTGCTGGAGGAAGAAAAAAATGTGTAGGCAGCGAGAACAGGGTTGTGAAGAAGCTTGAGTCAAATTCATAGATTCTAGGCCGGAAGGGACCGTTGTGATCATCTAGTCTGACCTCCTGTTTAACATAGGCCAGAGATTGTCTCCAAAATAATTCCTAGAGCAGATTTTTTAGAAAAACATCCAATCTTGATTTAAATTCAATGCTGGTGTAAACAAGTTCAGCACTGTTGAAATCAATGGTTTTACAGCAGGGCTGCTTCCCTCCCCTTATGTCAGAAAGCCTATTCGCAGATGAGTCTTTTGTGTTTAGAAGATGTGCAGGGATTGTTTAACTACTCCGTTTGTAATTGCTTTGGCAGGAGTGGGGTTGGAGGTGGTTTCTAGTGAGACTTGGGACGTGTGCAATTTTAGGTTATTCTGTAAAAAAAATTGTGAAGGATTATTAAAATATCTGCTGTTTTTTCTGACAGGTGAAGACATTTGGACCATTAGGGAATGAAAATGAAGACAAATTGACTATGTATATGGATCTGGTAGATGGTGTCTTTCTGAACAAAATCATGTTGCAAATGTAAGTAATCTTTTAAGGGATAATGAAAACTGCTTAGTGTTACAAGATCCAACCTTAAATTACTGTAATTGAGTTGACTTGCATTTAAATGTATACTGGAAATCAATACTTTTGAATAGACAGGTCAGTTTCCTGATATGCAGATTGCCTCATTATTGGTGAAGGTAAAGTGTGTGTTATTGTTTGACAGGCATTAAAGCATTTCAGTCTTCTGTATAATTGATAGAGAGTTGGTTGGAAAACAGGTGCATGGCGAGAGGAAAATCTTTTGCAATATTTTTCCCTAGGTTGGGAGGGGGATTTTTTTTTTTTTTTTAAATTTCCTGAATTTGAAATTGACCACACAGAAAACTTGCCCCAGGTTTAAAAATTGCCCTGATACATTTGTTAATTGTTTGTGTATCCCCCTGTGATGGCACATTTCATCATCTCTGGAGAAATGAAAAAGCCTTATCACGTGAAACTTTACTGTAGTCAGTGAGTCACACTTGCGTAGAAGTATTGATGTTCAAATATAAAGTTTAGTGCTCATGTAGTTCAATAAAATGCTTTTTCATTTGGGTGGCGTGTTTGTCACGGACCACTACAGATAGTAGAACTAAGACATTTATAAATAGTTTAATCTGAAATAGAAAACAGTTACCTTAATCTAGCTCTGTTTTTTTTCCTTTCATTTAAGTAAGCTCTTAGTAAAAAGTTTCTACGTTAATCTAGTTTTTACCACATCCTTTCCTGTAGCTGAATTTATCATATGCAGATTCTGTTTCATATGAATTTGTATTTCCATTTAAACATAATGGACATATTTCAGATAAGGAATTTATGTGGAAAAGTTTTTTTGATTTAACTTTTAAAGGTGGAATTTTCAAAAGTGCTTAATATGGGTCTAATTCTGCTCCCATTGAATGAAGTTTATTGACATTTTACCATAGATTTCACTGTATTCAGATCTAGGCCAACCCTGAGCACTTTTGAAAAGCCTGCTGTAGATGATTAACTTGTCACTGGTGTGTACTGTGCAAGTATTTTCTGAAAAGTGACTTTGTAAAGATGGTGTCTTGAGTCTGGCTTCTTACCCCAAGATATCTAGTCCAGTATCCTGTCTCTGATGGTGGCCAGCTCCACATGCAATTTGCAAAGTGAAACTGAATTATTTCTGGTTTGTGCATTACCAGCAATAAAGATTCTGTAAATGGAATTTAGCTAACAATTAACACGAGCCAAGGTCGAATCCAGGACACTCCCTCTGAGGTGTATTGTTTCTGCAGTGTTAACTGAAGTGGTTTAAAAAAAAAGTGTGTGTGTGTGGGGGGGGGGGGGATAAAATCTTACATGACCTGTGACTCTGGTTACAGAAAGGCCACGTTTCTTAGTCATTTTTCATGGTAGAACCCCTTTTTAAATAGAATTTCTAAAATCAGGGCTCTAAGCATCAATATTTAGATCCACATCTAAACTTTCTCAATGTGTAGACGTGGAAGGGGGGTTTACATCATGTCCATCTTTCCTTAAAGTACTTCTCCATGCTAGACAAAGTTACAGCTGTAGTGAGGCTGCTATGGAATTAACTAACTAGAATTAACTAAATTATGGACATTGTTGGGGAAAAAACTTTTAGCAGACCTCGTATCATCCAAAGAGAAAGTACTTAACAAAGGAAAACAAAAATGGTGCTATCTTGGTGTCTATTTACAACAAAGAAATATGAGCAACTGAGTTTTTCTTTTAGTGATAGAACTGTAGAAGATCACTTGGATTCATTATTATGAGATGCAAAGTGCTTTGCTGACTAAAATAATATGTGTATATATATTATTAAAATAGAGTGTTTACATCACCTCATCAACTATTGAAATGCAGCCACCTCTAGCGAGGAACGTAACTGTTCTACAGCGTACAAAAATTTAACAGTGTTTTGGAGCAAGCAGTGAACAATAAAATCCAATTGAAATTGCAGGGGGGAGGGAGTCAGGTTAACTATAATTATGCTATTGGAGTTTGGTCTGGATACCATACTCTGGCAAAAAATGCCATGGGTTCTTTAATGACCACTAGCATTCAAGAGCTTAGTCTTACATCTCATCCAAAAGACAACTCTGCCAGCAGCACCATGGAAAATGTGGGGGGGAAGCACTAACGCACAATGAGTACTGGAGTAAGAAACTCCCGTTAGATTAAACACAAGCGGACAGGGCTTTCTTTTTCCTTTTTTTGAGATGGCTTTGGCAGTGCTTCTGGTGGTGTCTTGGGATCAAAGAAACCAAAACTTTCCTATTGAGAGCCCAAGATTATTTAACTAAGGAACCAGCACTACAGTATTTATGTACACCCAACCCAGCAAGGTGCTGAAGAGAGCTTCTGTCTGTGACCTTCACTCTTTGTTAGCCAACCTTTAGAATTTGCAATGCAATTACTGCTTGCCTGTAAATCAGGAGAGCCTTTCTAAATGTGTTTCTGCCCCACAAAGTTTTCAGAATAGAAAAACAAATGTCTCAGAAATGCTCACTCATCAGTTCCTCAGGTTCCATGTAAGGTTGACTTTAAATGCTTGTGTCTTACTGAAACTGTGCTTGTCAGGGTCCTTGATAAATCGGATAGTATATTATGTGCCATGTTAAAATAATGTTGGTGCTCTGAAGGCACGGAGTGTAGTAAATGTTGGTGCTCTGAAGGTGGAGTGTAGTAAAGAGCTGTTAGACAGTTGTCTAACCAATCAGGTGTTCTCTTCTTTCCAGTCCTACTTGAAATTGTTTCGCCTGAGGATTATCCTGTTGACAAAGTTGTTTGAACACACACAACACAGGCATATGACTTCACACCTAAATGACAGTTTGAGTTTTAGGTTTGGATTTTTTTATGGTCCCATGTGATTGAAACCCTTATTGTTTAGCTGCAGCAAAACCGATGTCTTTAAATGGGAATTGGTGAAGCTGGTATTTGTATTACCTCCCCTCCCCACACCCCTGACCAAAACCTTGTTTCGAGTTGCGGAGGCTGGTGCTGTAGGTGTTTCATTGTTAAAATACATTATTTCTGTCCTGCTGTCAAGTGAGGTTTAATGTCCGATCATCGCTGAAAGGAATCCAGTGGCTCTATTAAGTGGCATGGTTAAACTTGGTGAGCTTTGATTGCTGGCAAAACATAGGGCTTTGACTGTGTGCAGTGCTGAGCAGGCTCCATTCACGCAAGCAGACCAATGATTTCTAAATACGGTAGGCTGGATTATGCCCTACACACCATCTGGCATGCTGGTGTGGGTGCAGAAGGGCTGTGCTGCAGGCAGAGGCCCCAAGGAGGCATTTTGGATGGCTTAGTCAGATCAGCATGGCAACTGCACCAGCCTCAGAGGGAGGTGCCGTGCAGGCTGCCATTCTTTTTGCCTGTCCAGGTCTGCTGGCTGTGTGAAATGGGGGAGGGGGAGTGAGGGGTGGCCTGCTGCCACCCTGTCCTTTTTTAGACAGCTAGAGTTCAGAGAGACGCAGAAATGAGCTGAGCCTCAGGCACAACAAACTTTGCAAGGAGGGACGATAGGCCTCCTTACACACTCATGCAGGTGATAGTTACATATTGAGTCAGACTGTGGCCAACATCCAATGTTAATGCCACTACATTTTTAAATACTGCTAAACAGGATAAGTCTTTTTGTTGTTGATGGTCTCCTCCTTCTGTATTCTGGCACAGTTGACTCTGACCTAAGCATGGATATGGCACAGTTGCATATCTGTAAATAATATCCCTTATGAGCAAATGATACAATATTGTTTAGTGGGGCGCTAAAATAATACAGCTATCCATAGTGAAACTGCAGTAGTACTAGAACTTCTGGATTTCTTGTGAGTGCATTTGTATCAAATTAATACACTGTTCTACAGCCACATTTCAAAGTTTTTCAGACTCTGCTGCATACAGTTTTGTGTCACTTCCTGGTATGAAAGTGACACAAATCTGATTGCCTTGAGCACAGTGATTACATTGGGCCAGGAATATCTGTTAGCGTAAGCAAATATTTACTGCTTAAGCCCATAGTTTTTGATGATGGAGTGTTTTTATTGGGAAATGGTGGATGTATATACACAAGGAGCCCTAAATATTTGTGTATTGGCTTGTTAAACAATACCTAGACTGGAACATATCGGACAGGAATAAAATGACAAAATATCTGACGGGAATAAATCTGACAAAACCATCATTTTTTGCAACTCCTAAATGGAAAGTCTGTATAATAAATATCTTTGAATTTTGCTTGCAATTGTCATTGTTTATAATATCAACCCGTCTTCTGTGATCTCAGTATATGTGATAGGAGTAGCCAGTATAATAATGGAAGCAGCAAGTAGCCATGTATACATGAGGGTTATATTATTTGGAAGCATATTTCTTGTATTGTTTTAAATCATATTGGAATATTTATTTTACAGGCAGTTTAGGGCTCTCATTGGCTTTTAGTCTATTAGATACGAAAGAAGAGGAAGGTGATATTTGAATCATGGCAATTAGACTAAACAAAGTCCCCTTCTGTTTGTTTTCCATTAGTGAATTACTTCCGGGAACAAAGTGCAGCCAAAAGAATACAGGAGATTGGGACTGCAGGATAGTTCTTCCCAAACCAACTTTTATCTCAGACAAAATCAGCCCAGAGGCAATAGAATACTAGTGACCCTTGGTACATTTGATTATCTGTGATATTTGATAATTCGCTGGCCCTATTTGAGGGCTTCCCACTGACTTGTAATGCTTATTTGCCACAAATTACTCAAGCAAGACTTATAATTTTGAACTTAAAAAAAAAAATCCTTTCCCATAGTTCATGATCTGGTTTAACTGCTCTCTGATGAGCTCTTTTCAAGCACAGTTACCCCGTATTAGCAGCGCAAAGCATTCGACCATCAAGACATCCCCGCTTCCTCCAAAAAAAATAACGATCGGATTTTTTTAATTAATAATTTTGCGGTCCTTTTATTTGCCTTCTGTTTTTTTTTTTTTTTAACTTCTGGGTTACACTCAACTCATGTTTTTCTCTGCAATCATGAGGGCTAAAAACGTACTTTCTCTTTAGAAATGAAAGTTGAGATTCTCATGTACTCATATGGAGCAGGGCTTTAAGGAAAATGCTGAATAGCAGAAGTACTCATGAGATTCAGTTCAGGGGTCTCAAACTCATTCATAGTGGGGAGCATATTTTAATATGAAGATTCTTGTGAGCTGTCACTTCCACTTGCATAATATCCCTGTTCGTTTTCTGTGTAATCTAAGTATGATATATTTTTAGTTTCTTTTAATACAATTTAATAATATCTCGCACTTATAGAGATCTTTTCATTGAGAGCTCTCAAAAGACTTTACAAAGGGAGGTCAGTATCATTATCCCCATTTCACAAATGGGGAAACTGAGTCATGGAAACTGAGGCCAGTGACTTGCTCAAAGTTGCCTAGCAGGCCAGTGGCTGAGCTGAGAATGCTTGGAATTTAGAAGCTGGAAACGAGGAGAGTCCATAGGCCGCGGTTTGAGACTCTTTGTCTCAGTGTAATTAAAGGAAAAAGATATTCCCGTAAATGTGAAGCTTGCTTCTTATTGCACAGCTTACCCAGTGTCTTGTGATTTTGTTGATCCCTGTTCCCCCTCCCTGACTTTGCTCCCCCTATTCTTTGCTATTACAGATTGAGTTGTACCCTTTTCTGTGTTGTTTTGAGTAGCTTCCTCTCTCTTTCCCTACACTGAGTTCTGTTCTTTTGCTTCTCCCCTAGATTTCTGGTATCTTCTTCTCTCTCGCTCTGTGTCTTGTTTTCATTTATTTCCTCCTCCCTCAAACATCCTTCCTCTCACTCCTCAGACCCACATCTTCCAACATACCCACCTGTCCTGCATGTGCCCATATGCAGCCACCCATTCACAGGCTCATTTCTGGTTTCCCCCAGTTAAAGAGAAGTGGGGAGATGCCACTCTGCTGCCTCTTGTCCTAAAGATACAGGCGTGTCCCCTGGATCACAATGGTCCTGTCTTTCTAATGTCTAAAAGGAGTGGCTGCCCCGTGTTGCTGTGATTCCACAGTTGCTCCCTTCCCTTAGCAGCCAGCCACCCCAGTCTCTGCTCCCCGACATCACTCAGCCCATTCATGCTCACCACATCCCTACTAGCCTGGGGCAAATGGATTTTTAAATCCTGGTGAGTGAGGTAGAGATAGCAGCAATCCAATCTGTCCCCTTTGCATTATGCTGCCCACTCACACTAGACAGAAAATCAAATATAGAAAACGTATTGTAAAAACTTATTTTAAAATATTATAATGAAGTATCAGTTTTTTCTTGCAGAAAAGCTGAATGCCTAGAACACCTGGGATTCGTAAGGAGGTGCTCATCCAAGTACTAACTGGGCCAAGGTGCCTTTAGGTTACAGAATCGTGTAAGACCAAGCAAACCAGGACCTGTAAGATTATCTGCTTTTCAGAAACCAGCCATTGTCTCAAAGAGCAACTTGCCATGACTTCCATAACTTACTGATCTCCTATTGCACATGTGCATCTCCAGTATCAGTATCTGAATTTGTTATACAGTGAGCATTAACATTTCATAAAGTGCTTCTGTGGTGACAAGTTGAAAAGCATTTCTGTTTCAGGGAAAGGAGCTGCTCACCTCACCTCACCTCATGCATAAGATTCCATGCTGCTTAAGAAGTTTATAAAGTTGCTGTATACATGGTCTCACTTATCCCAGTCTGTCCTATTGGGCAACAAACTGTACATGACTGTGGTCTGTATACTGACTAGCAGCTGGGAGCTTTCGGGGCATTGCACAGTGCCCCTTTCTGACATTAAACAAACCTGCCTACTTATGCAATTTCTTCAAACATCTGTAACATAATGTTCAGACTATATTTTATTTTCAAGAAAGCACTTGGCCTCCATCTCAGAGAGGAAATGATGGAACCGCTTAAATAACACCATTTACTCCGGTCTGGCTCCACAGGCAGATCAACAAGCCTCGTGGTGGATGATATTAAAGGCTGCCCTGGGCAAAGTGATTATTGTCATTAAACATAATAGTGGCAGTTTAGGAAGTTTTTTTTCCTCACGCCCTGATCCTGCAAACACTTATGGATGTGAATAGTCCCAATGATTTCAGTGGGGCTACTTGTATCTGTAAACTTAAGCGGCTGTATGGGTGTGTGTGTTTTGTAGTTTCTGGGCAGTAAAGGGGGTGTGATTTTTTTTCCCCCAAAGATGTCTAAATGATTTAGGAGCAAAAGTCCCATTAAAAGTCAATTGACCTTGTGCTCCTGAGTCACTTAGGTGCTTTTGAAAATCTCGCCCTGGGCCTAAAAATGCCCTATATAGGAATATTCAAAAGAAACACCAGTTCTTTGCCATGGCTAGTTATGTGTCTTCAGTGGGTTGAGTGTGTTTTCCTCTTGTGGGTTTTTTTTATTAATCAAACTTTTAAAGTCCACTTATTTTCCATCCCCATCATCATTCCTAGTATGTCCCAGTGATAGATTTGTGAGATAAGCAACCATCAAAACTAATATTTCCTTTGTTAAAGTATGGCAGCAGGTGCCAAATAGAACAGCCAAAGCCAACATCTCTTCTTTCTGGATATAGACTTTGGGCTAATGGGCTATAGTATTGGACAGCAGCACCGCTATGTAGTGTATGAATGGATTGGTTCATGTAGAACCTGGAGGACTTTGAACTACCCCTTCTGTTTGGTCAACTTCTCTTTACTGTTTGTTTGCTTCCCTGTGTATTGTAATGACTAATCACAAAGCCTAAGTATCCAGCATCCATCAGAATCAGACTCCCTACTAGTATTCTTTAGAGCATTCCCCGTACAGGCTGGCCTAACATGGACCTGGAGAGGCCAAACCCAGGTTCCCCTTTCAAATCTTGCACATGTCTTGTGCTGTTGCACTGCTGTCTGATCTGTCTCACTAGGTACTTGTATGACCCCATCACCAAAGTATTTGAGCACCGGTTTCATTAACAAGGGCAAGTTAATCTTAGGGCTGCAAACATCAACAAAAATGAGATGGTTCAAGTAAAGGTGATAGTATGGCATTTATGTTGAAGTCCTATGTTTTTCTTAACTTGTGTATTAAAACTGCAGTCAGTGTGCCAAATATTACTGCTTCTGTAAGAGTGGATGAAGAGGAGTCTTGCCCATTTATGCCAGTGGCAAATTTACCACTTTGTACCTCAGTGCATTTAAAATCACCAACTGCACATGGGTATAGGTATCAAGTCTAATAGCAAAGCAGGACTTTGGCCATCTCTTCAATGGGAGAGACACTCTGTGATGTCTACACATATCACCCATATTCAGTGCAAAGATGAATTGACGTGGTTGTGCTTAAAAACACAAAAATACTCTTAACTGCTTACAGTACTTGTGTAAACTTTGACAAACAGTCACACAGTATGTCAGTTCCCCTTTAATTCACCTGTCAACACCAAAATTCAGTGTTTCCTCTGGAAGAGTTGTCAATGGCTAGATTAACTGCCAAAGCAGAGTCCTGGATGCAGATGCCTATGTAGGTTAGGTGTCCGCTGATAACACTCTGAACTAGGGGATTGACTGAGCACAAGTTTTTCAGATCCCTTTTAAGGTGCATTGGTGTGTTTAACTTCCATACAGATTCTCTTAATCATTTGGGGCTTTTCTTTACCTCAGAAACAGTCATTTCAGTTCACCCTTGAGATTCAGTTGTAATCACTTCCTTTAAAACAAAAAAACCTTCTAGCGTCCTAATCTCTCTCTTTTCTCCCCCTCCCCCCCATCCCAATTAATTGCTCTCTTGCACACACATACACCTTTATATATCTTCCAATAGTTCCTAGAAGCCCCAGTCAGGATCTGGGCCCCAGTGTGCTAGACACTGAACACTCTTAAAATATAAGACCGGGCTTAAATCTAATTAGGCAAGACAGAAAATGGCCTGTGTCTGAATGAGATTTCCTTGCATCAGGGACGGTCTAACTATATGTATGCTGCATACCCCTTGCTCTGGGAGTGCATAGTGGTTGCAGGATGATGTTGCTTAGAAGTGAGGGAGGCTCTTGAATCGCCACATAGGGTCACCTAAAATGTGTTACGCAGAGTGGTATGTGGAAGCGTTCCAAACTCTCTCCCTCCCTTTCATTGCGTGGCTGCAAAGGGAATATTAAGTTGTTAGTTTGTTGTAAGTTTGTATTAATTGTACTGAAATAGTCAAATGCTTAAGAGTCCTCCTTGTACTGCATTATTGTAGTGTGACAGGATAGAGCTGATGCATGCCCAGTCTTTAACATTGGGTTTTCCCTTTTTGTTTCTAGAGATCCACGGCCGACAAACCAACGTGTCAACAAGCACGTCGATAATGATGTCAACCTCCGAATCCAAAACCTGACCATCTTAGTCAGAAACATCAAGATTTATTATCAGGTGTGCCTTCTGCTCTTACTGGTGTCTGCCGAGGGTTGTGGTGTTTCCGCTAGCACAGGAATTAGTAGTCTGTTAAAGAAAACTACCACAGGAAATGAAGAGGAAATTGTGTTCATGTAAAAGCATTTTCAGCCATCATTGCCAGCACTTTGAAATACAGATAGAGCTAACTTTTCTAGCCTTCATGGCCCATCAGCAGATTTTAAAAAGGAAGGAAAAAACTGAGTTTGAAGGATATGATAGCTCTTTGGTTAGCTGTGTCGATATTCAACTCTTCTGCAGGATCTATGAAATAGGACTAATGTCTGAGGATATAAAACGTGTTTAAAACAAGTAGCGTTGCTTTCACCCTTAGAGACATCTTGAAATGCCAAGGAGTATTAAAATGGTCCTGTACATACATATTGTGTTTAAATAAGTCTCATGAAAGACTGACCACATCAACTCCCATTCCCAGGCTCTTCTCATCCACCTGCATCTCTTCTAGCCATATGCTGTACACTAGAGGCAGCTGGGTGGAGTGTTGCATCTCTTGGGAGAATAATGGTACTTCATTAACTTTAATTGCAGTTCTGGGGCTTGATGCTACTATAGTAGAGAGATACCCCAAAATATTCTTGCCACCAATTGCTATCTGTGCTACAGAGCTTGCTAAAGAAAGTCTGAGAGGGATTCATGCAGAAGAAAGTAAAATACAACCGATGACTTTTAAATGCAAGTTATGGCAGCATGTCAGGAGAGTAGATTGTGTAGCTTTTTGAGCTGAGGTGGTGTGTTGGCATTTTATATATTTTTGAAGACAACAAACGTATGGCTCAATCATTTAGCATTGTAGGTATTGCTGGAATGGGTTGTCATTCACTTAAAAATAAATAACTGTAATTGTCCCGTTGAGTTCTCTACCCCAGCAGGTAAATCCCATTTCCTCAATCTTTCAACATAACAGGATGGGATTTCCTTGTCTGTCTTTATTATTGCTTACTCAGCACCATAGATCTGTATGAAGTTTTACAGACATCAGAAGACAGAGAGAGACAAGGTGGGTGAGGTACTATTTTTTTTTTTTTTTTAATTGGACCAACTTTTGTTGGTGTGAGAGACAAGCTTTTGAACCACCCAGATTCTTCATCAGCTTGTCTGTCTCGCCAACAGAAGTTGGTCTTATAAAAGATATTACCTCACTCACCTTGTCCCTCTAATATCCTGGAACCGACATTGCTACAACTACGCTACATGCAACATCAGAAGACGCAGTCCTTTCTCCACAAAGTTTGCAATCCAAGAGCCCGATCCTTAGTGTGCTGAGAACCCTAAACATTTAATCTCACTCATGGGAGTTCAGCACCTTGCAGCAGATGATCAGGCCCTTTGTTAGACAATGTACAAACAGGGGCTAGAGTATGGGAGAAAATAAATGTGATTCAGAATTATGTGACCTGGCTTGTTTAGTGTCTTGTTGGTTCTGCGCTGTTGGTTTTTTTTTTTTAATATAATCTAATCTAGCCAGGCACTACAGTAATACCTTATAACACACTTTCTTACTATTTGTAACGGAGCAAGAGCTGTGGCTGGAGATGGGAGGCATAATAATAAGATTCTGGCCAGAATCCAGAAAAATCTAGGCCAGGGGTCGGCAACCTTTCAGAAGTGGTGTGCCGAGTCTTCATTTATTCACTCTAATTTAAGGTTTCGCATGCCGGTAATACATTTAAACGTTGTTAGAAGGTCTCTTTCTATAAATCTATAATATATAACTAAACTATTATTGTATGTAAAGTAAATAAGGTTTTTAAAACGTTTAAGAAGCTTCATTTAAAATTAAATTAAAATGCAGAGCCCCCCGGACCGGTGGCCAGGACCCGGGCAGTGTGAGTGCCACTAAAAATCAGCTCACGTGCCACCTTTGGCACATGTGCCGTAGGTTGCCTACCCCTGATCTAGACCATTACTTTGTCAGGCTACTGCATCTCCCTGCCTCAGGAATGCATACCCTGCATGTAAATAGTATGATAGCAAAAATTAATTAGTTTGTTCTTGAAAATGTTAAATAATAGCAAATCTAACAAAAATTATATTTTTGTATCTATACACTACATGTAAGGAGCTCATTTCTCGTTTATCACATCAAGCTCTTTAGGGCAAATCCAAGGCCTCTTGTTAATCTAAGAGAGATTCCCTTTTAAATGACGTTGCGTAACCTTCAATTCCCAATAGCCTGGAAGGAGTTAAAGGCAATCTGCGCAGTTCTATATATGATTGATATGCAGCGTCACATTTCTACTAATGGTTGTTGTATTTTGGAAGATTTCTTGTGTGTTAGAAGCCCAGCTAGTGTATATCATTTGAATTAAATGATGGTTGGTTGTTACAAAGTATACTCAAGGCTTCTAGAATGGATATTTTGGGATGTACTAGAGAATTTTGCCATCTAAAACTTTTCATAGTAATTATTGTGAAACCTCTCCTCCTTTGAACCTTTGTTTTTTGTTGTTTTTTAAGTAGCCTGAAATTAGTTGTGTTTGTATAGTTGAGTAATCTAAGTCAATAGCTCGGGATGAGGCTAGTGTGTTACTGACAGAAAACATCTAATCAATTTCAGTGGCAGTCTGGAAGTGGGAGGGAAGGTTCCTGACAAACAATAGAAGCACAAATTGCTGCTTCCTCAAGGGAAGCACAAGCTTAAAAAACACCATGTTGGCCTTGGGGAATTCCCTTCACTTTCACCAAATGGACTCAAATCTCATTTACAGCTAATTCCTTGTATTTGGTGGGGGGAGTGTATATGGAGGGAAGTGAGGGTGATTATTCTTTTGTGTGTTGTTAAACAAAGGGTCAAAGTGGGTGTCACAAAAGAAAAGCCTTTCTCCCCCCCCCCCCCCCCCCCCCCACAAACAAAAAAAAAAAAAAAAAATCAAAATCCCCTAGACCCTGTGTTTTGTGGAATAAGATATCAGTAGCTACTAAAATTAAACTATTTTAAGATATCACTCAAAGGCTGGATAGTTTTTTGGGTCCATATAAATGTCTAACATAACTGTGCTCAGTATAGTTGATCTCCTTGTTAAAACAAAATTTATTTCAGTATTTGGTGACTTTCTTCTGAAAGTAGAGGTGGAAGTAAACCAGAACCCTGGACCCAAATGGCCCCCCACGATGTTAAGACATTCCAGATCTGGATCAGAACTTTGAGGCACTATCTCTCTAACAGGTCTGAATGTAAACCCTGTATCTGAAGAGAGCTGGGTATTGGGGAAATTTGGATCTAGATCTGACCTTTGTGGCTTGGACTTCTCTCTTTATAAAATTTGCTTCACTGGGCATAAATGGGATGGGCAAATGCACTAAAGAAACACTTTTACACTGGAATCCGAACAGTTTAGGTGGCTCTGACGTTCACCTGGTGTCTCAATTGCTGTTTTTGTTAACTCTGTCAAAAGCATTTAATCTATGAATTCAGTGAAGTTAAGCCAGCACTTACAGCAGCACAAAACCTTGATCACTGAGGGCTGTAAAAAAACAATCACCAGTGCCTTGTGTCAAGATTGTTGCAGTAAAATGGGGAGAAACCTTGACAACTTTTAAGATGAGAGAATTTTGAGTTGGCCGATTCCAATTTTTTATTTTAATAGGAGTGTATAAAAAAAGGGTTAGTCCTGGTGGCAAGTAAAGTCTCTACATTTCCCACTGAGTAGCCGCACTTTTACAGGCTCTGTAATCATGGCCTGTGAGAACTTCATCTTCTGAAACTAAGCAAATTAGTCATTTTGTTGTGGGATTTCTTGAGCAGAAATCTGTTAAAGAGGATCTGCCACTAATTCCATTTAATGAACATTGTGCCACTGGCTAACAGCAAAATGCTGGTAATTAACTTTTTGAACTTTTGTGACATTTTGGGAAGGCTTCTATGAGGGAGAATGTGAAATGTCATTGTCAGTTTTGTGTGTGTGTGTGTACACACGTGTGTTGGAGGGTGTGTTTGCACTTTCTAGCTAGTGCTTTGATCAAGCTGATGGTTCAGAGCATTGGCAGCTTTCCACCGCCCTTGTTGATGTACATATTTGTATGTCTTTATTGAACTGAAAATCAAAAAGGAATCCTAGAAAAAGTGGAAACATGGATGAATTGCTTAGGAGGTGTACAAAAGAAGAACACAAGCATGTAGGGACAAAACCAGAAAGGCTAAGACACAAAATGAGTTACACCTTGCAATGCACGTAAAAGGCAGTAAAAACAGGTTCTTTAAATACATTAGGAACAAGTGAAAGACTGAGGCCTGGTCTACACTAGGACTTTAATTCGGATTTAGCTGCCTTAATCCGAATTAACCCTTCACCCGTCCACACTACAGAGCCAGTTAATTCGAATTAAAGGGCCCTTTAAATCGATTTCTGTACTCCACCTCGACGAACGGAGTAGAGCCTAAATCGATTTTGTTAATTCGAATTAGGGTTAGTGTGGCCGCACACCACCGAATTAATGTGGTTTAAAACCGAATTAAGGTGCTTAGTGTGGCCGCGCACAATCGAATTTATACAACCTGTTTCCCAAATTCGAATTATCTAAATTCGGATTAATCCTGTAGTGTAGACATACCCAAAGGAAAGTGTTGGTCCACTACTTAGAGGAGAAGTTGACCTAATAACTGAGAACATCAGGAAGGCTGAAGTTTTTAATGTCCATTTTGCTTCAGTCTTCACTAAAAAGGTTAAAGGTTAGCAGGTACTCAACACAATTAATATGAGCAACAAGGGGGAAGGAAAATAGGGTAAGAACAGGTTAAAGAACATTTAGGTAAGTTAGATGTATTCAGGTTGGCAGGGCCTGATGAAATTCATATTAGGGTACTTAAGGAACTAGCTGAAGCAATCTCAGAACCATTAGTGATTATCTTTGAGAGCTCATGGAAGACAGGTGAGCTCCCAGAGGACAGGAGAAGGACAAACGTAATACCCATCTTTAAAAAGGGGAGAGATGTGGGGAATTATAGACTGGTTGGCCTAACTTTGATTCCTAGAAAAATACTGGAACAAATTATTAAACAGTTTGTAAACAAGTAGAGGATAAAAGGCTTAAGGTACAGCCAGCATGGGTTTGTCAAGAATAAATCATGCCAAACCTGCCTAATTTCCTTCTTTGACAGGGTTACTGGGGAAGCAGTAGATTGGATATAACTTGACTTTAAAAATGGATACAGTCCCATGTGACGGTCTCATAATCAAACCAGGGAAACGTGATCTGAAATTACTATAAGGTGGGTGCACATCTGGCTGGAAGACCAAGAGTAGTTATCAATGGTTCACTGTCCAACTGGATGGTGTTTTTAGTGGGGTCCCTCAGGGGTCAGTCCTGGGTCCGGTACTATTCAATATTTTCATTAATTAATTATTTGGATAATGGAGTGAAGAGTGTGCTTATAAAATTTGTAGATGACATCAAGTAGGGGTTAAGATGTAGCTAGGACAATGGCAGGAGAACTTGAGGAAAATCCTGAGTGTAGACACACCCTATTCTATTCTGTTTGGTTCTTATACTGAATTCGTCACCATAGCACCCTTTACCACAGTGTAGGTAATGCTTTATTTAGCCTACATACACTAGCACTTAAACCATTGTCAACACTGGTGCAACTGCATTCTTTACCAACAGTGGGTACAGAATGTGCTTGTGTGGACTACGCTTTGGAGCAGTTATTTGAAACAAGCCTGGGCTGGGGCAGACTGGCAGGGTAGCCTGGGGAAGCTTGAAGTGGCTGTCATGCTTCCTCCATTCTGTGCATCAGCCTCTGGATCTGACACCTTTTATGGGCAATGAAATTCATTTTGAATATAGTTTGAAAAAACTAGAAGCAGCAAGAAGATCTGTTTCCATATCTGCTAGATCCTTAACTTTCAGACATGCCAATATTCACTCAAATGGCACATACTGCATCACAAAAATCCCTACAGTTTGCATAAAAACTTGTGGTCGTGGGAAGAAAAGAATTAACATTATCATCACTTGGCTAGTGTCTGTGTGGTTTTGAGGCATAACTTTCATTTAAAGAATGCAGATTGGAAATGCCAGTGGAAGAAGCACTGTATGTGGTCACTGCTACATTTTGATGCCTGTAGTTCCCATAGTTGTGACCACTAAGTCCTTGGACAATTGCTTGACATTTCTAAATGGCTGGAAATAGTTCTGCATTTAAAAAAGAATTGCTGCTGAGACACAATTCTGAAACCAGTTATACTCACAAAATGGCCCATGTGCAACTTCCATAAGTAACTCAAACCTTAGAAGTTCCATTAATAATGGTGGGAGGAGTAAATATGAAGTCATTCACTGAATGTGCAGAAAGAACATTATATATATCATATTGCTGCAAATCCGAGTTCTGGTTTTGGTTCATAACTTGTGCCCAATAGCTGTTTTGCCAGCTGTAAACAAGTTTTTATATACAATGTGCCCCTTTGTTGAAATTACATCTCTTTTCTAATAGTAAGAAGACTCCTGGGGGTCCCTGACTAGTTGCTTAATTAATAGGCCTCTATAGGTAAACTTTATTTCTTCGTATTACTACATATCTATATTTCAAGCTCAAGGGAGGACCTTTTTTTCTTGAGTTTTAAAATCCAAGTTTGTAAACCACAACATTTGTCTCTTCTCAAGACCACAATGTCAGCAGTTTTAACAAATAATAGTCCCTTATAAATTCACCCAAACTACTTTGCTAACTTTATACGCTATGGGTCTGTCAATTTCTTCTCCAAGGTGTATGCAACTGAGAGCACAATTTGTTTGTAATATATATTTAAGTGCCTGAATCAGTCTCACATCTGTAATTTTGTACATTAATGTGAGATAACAGATTTTAAACTGTGATAACTTGTAACAGGATATGGGGAAGGGGATGTATAGAAACTGAGATTCTTAGTACCATAAACGTTATTACATATACTGGGAATAATTTAGTACCAAGTACTTGTACTTTTTACAAAGAGGTAATTTGGTCAAGTGGATTGGGGGGTAGGAGATATTGGTTCTAGTCCTAGTTCTGGTGGTCACTTTGGGCAAGACCTTTCTGTTTTCTGTGACTCCATTTCAGCTCCTACCCTTTGTCTATCTTTATTTAGATTGAACCTCCATGGGGCACTAACTGTCTTATTGTGTGTTTACACAGTGCCAAGCACAGCAGGACCCCAATCTCAGTTGAGGCCTCTTGACACTACTGTGACGCAAATAAAATTTGTAGTCAGGTTTTCCATTATAGAATCACAGAAACATAGGGCTGGAAGGGACCTCAAGAGGTCATTGAGTCCACCCCCTACACTGAGGCAGGAGCAAGTAAACCTAGACCATCCCTCACAGGTATTTGTCCAACCTGTTCTTTAAAACCTCCAATGACAGGGATTCCACAACCTCTCTTGGAAGTCTACTCCAGTGCTTAACTATCCTAAGAGTTAAAGTTTTTCCTAATATCTAACCTAAATCTCCCCTGCTGCAGATTAAGTCCATTACTTCTTGTCCTACCTTCGCTGGATATGGAGAACAATTGATCACAGTCTTCTTTATAACATAAACAGTACTACCACCGAGCCAGTTATTCCCTGTTTTGTAGTTACGCATTTGATTTTTTTTCCCTTCCTAAGTGTAGTATTTTGCACTTTATTGAATTTCCTATTGTTGAATTCAGAACAATTCTCCCATTTGTCAAGGTCGTTTTGAATTCTAATCCTATCCTCCAGAGTGCTTACAACCCCCACCCTCCAGCTTGGTGTCATCTGCAAATTTTATAAACATACTCTCCACTCCATTATCTAAGTCGTTAATGAAAATATTGAATAGTTCTGGATCCAGAACTGACCCCTGAGGGACTCACTAGTTACACCATCCCAGTTAGATAGCAATCCATTGATAACTACTCTTGGAGTACAGTCTTTCAACCAATTGGGCACCCACCTTATAGTAATTTCATCCAGACAACGTTTCCCTAGTTTGATTATGAGACTGTCACAAAGGATGGTATCCCTTTCTAAAGTCAAGATATAGCCTGTCTTCTGCTTCCCACGTAGGCCAGTAACCCCATCAAAGAAGGAAATTAGGTTGGTTTGGCATGATTTGTTCTTGACAAACCCATGCTGGCTGTACCTTAACCCTTTTATCCTCGACTTGCTTACAAACTGATTGTTTAACAACTTGTTCCAGTATCTTTCCAGTTATCAAAGTTAGGCCAATCGGTCTATAATTCCCCAGGTCTCCTTTGTTTGCCCTTCTACTACTTTATGGCCCGTAATTTCCTGGAGCTGGAATATAGGAAAGGACAGAATAGGCTGGCATGTGCCTGTGTTAGTTCTGTGTTCGTTTTGGTTAATAAGCTAGGAAGGTGTGAATTCATTATACAGACAAATGGGGAAACCAAGCTGAGATAGCAAGGGACCTCGTGTGTGCTCCTGTAATATAAATACTAACGGATGGCAATGAAGATGACTCTGAATTCTAGACTCATAGCTTGAATGGAATGTACTTGGAGGAGAAGGGCTGTGCTGCTGTCATCAGCTTCCTCTTTTGTTCCGATCCAAGGTTTCAGTGGGTTTGTTGTTCTAACTTGTGGCAGTAGTTGGTTAAGGTTGCCACATCAGAAGTAGAGGCAAAGGGGCATTATTCTGAAAGCACAGGTGGGGAGGTGGGTTCAGTTGCCATGGGGTGATCACGGTGGGCTCCAGCACCCACTGGACCTGGAGGTGCAAAAATGGGTATTGTACAGCATGAAATATCTCTCTGGCTTTTATTCAGCACTTCATGATTTAACCCACGACATTTTATCATCAACTGGGGGGGGGGGGGGGGAGAGATACTTGGAATGGTCTGAATGAGAGAATATTTCCACTGTCATTTAGACAGCTAAAAAAATGAGTGAATGTTTAATTTAGGTCTGTACTAATTTGAATTTACCTGGTGTAAATCTTCTGTTTAAGAATTTAATTTATTCTAGTGTTAATCTAGTAAACTGTTGCACTACGACTTGCAAGAGTAAAATTACAGGGCATTTTGCTACCTTCCACTACCATATTTATTGTGAGTTTTTGATTAGATTTAAGGCATATATCACTGTATCTAGACAATCTCATCAGACTTAACATACTTTTGACTCAATTCTGCTATCTAGACACAGGCAAAATTCCCATTTACATCAATTGGAGTATTGTTTAGGTAGGTTCTGCAGCCCTAGGTTCCCTGTAGCCTAAGGAAGCTACGATTTCAGATATATTGGAAAATATTCTGTCTGCTGTGTGCAGTGTGTAGTAGTAAAGGGATTTATTTTTGCTAAATTAATTGTTTATACAGGCAGTCCTCGACTTTACGATGTTTGACTTACCACGAATGGCACTTACGACATTTCTGAATTGACACCCTGATTCAACTAACGACAATCGGTTTCAACTTTACGACGTTCGGTCCTGCAATGGAGTGGATTGCGGTTCTGAATTACGACATTTTGACTTACGAAGCAATTTTCAGGAACCAATTGTGTCATAAGTCCAAGGACTGCCTGTAATGCCTGTTGCATAGCTATAATATCTGCAGCTCTAAAGGCCTGCTTTGGTCAGTTGTATTTCTGTAATAGGTTCCATTTAATTTAGCCTTTTGCATACAGATATTTTAAAGTGAAGTCTACATGAATTCCATAAATATAAGGTAAATTAAAAAAAAAATCTTCCAGTTGCACAGCAGTTCCCTAAACGCAGGATTTCTGCTTTTTCTTGGCAGGTCACAAATGGAAATAATATTTCTTTGATTATATGCACATTCTATCAATGAATAATTTTATATTATGATCTCAGAAAACATAATCTGTATATATCAGCATATGTAAATAGTGTATATGACACCATATTAGATCCATTCTGTTTTAGGTGCTGGTTTCCTTATAAATCTAGATTAATCTCCTGTACAGAAGTGGTATATAAAGAGGGGAATTAAAACCTTAATTCTGCAATGTCGTATGCACCCCACTGACTTTAATGGGGCACTGCATGAGCAAAGGGTTCTGCCTGTGTCTGTGAGTTTGCAGGATCGGGGCCTATGACTTCAGCTATATTAGCACTTCATCTTAAAAGTAGCAGGTTTATTACTTGGCCATCATTTTAACATAGGCTGTTTTTTGTTTGTTTGTTTGTTTGTTTCCCCTGCCCCCAACAAGGTATTGGACCTACAAACCATACCTCCAGGGTGTTTTTTAATTTTGGAAAAAAGCTTGGGCGATTTTTATTTATTTATTTATTTATTTATTTAAAATCATAGGCATTCCAGAAAAGGAAGTTACTGTTTTTAGATTTGATTTTGATACTGTCATATGTCTCATGCAGTTCATTGTTGTAACTGGCTGGCAGTGTTTGTCTGAAACACCCAATCCTCCTAGCAGGTGTAGATCCTGCTGAGAAAATGGGTTAGTGGGGTTTGCTGAATCGTGTCTGATTACCGCACCTGGATATAAAGGAGTTGGGAGTGACTCTCTAGAGAGCGGATCTAGAGTGTGGGCTGAGCAGACCTGGTGTAGGAATGGAGCAGGCTGGGGAGAACGCTTGAGCTAAAATTTGTTGTTTTGTTAATAAAGGCAAGCCCTAGGAACAAGGTGAAATTATGACACTACAGAGCATGGACTTTGTGTCAGAGTTGGTTGTGAAGGGCACCTGTTCACAAGTGTGTGTTTTAACTGAAATTTTGTCATCCACTCATCTCTAATGCTTCTGGGTTCATGGGTTTGTTTTTTTAATGGGGAAGATTTTTAAAGACAGCTCTTACTTTAAAAAACAACATAGACTAACAGCTGTGCTAGCACAACGTCTGTTTCTTGTCTCTTTGAGACAATTTGAATGTGTGCACTGATGGTTACGCTGTCTAAACCACACAGCATGTAGCAATCTAGATAAATCCAGCAGCTAAGGAGTTAAGCTTTTAAAGTCTATCAGGCTCTAATCTGGCCAATAAAAGTCCCTAAATAAGAATCTGTTCAACAGACTGAAATCACCCCTGTGGAGCTGTCACTGTCTGTCAGTTTAATAATTAGCATTATTAAAAGTCCCTAGATACTTACGTAATCTTGGATTTTAGTATTTCTAAAGACATGGATAGAGGCCATTAATTCTGCTATTCCTTTTAAAAATCAAGCCCACCCCTTATAAAGTTAGAGATCATGCACACTGCATCTAAATACCTCTCTCTATTAAAAATTGAGCTGTTGGAATTATTGAATATCTTTAAAACCGTCTAAATAATAAGCTTAGTCCTTCTCTCAGGAAAATGGATCCAATTTGTTGGATTTAGTCACCTCATGTTCAATGGCTAATTTAAAATATTTGCCAAATCTATTTGCTTTGGTTTAAAAGCAAGAGAAAAGTAAATGTCATTTTTTCCATGGCATCTTAAATACATATTTTTTTCAAAAGCTGGCCCAATAGACTAATGCATGAAAGATCCACCAGTGTGGCCTTTGGAATGGAGTCCAATATCCAAATGGTGTTTGCGAAGAGACCTACTTCAGTGAACCCCTTTGGTGCACAGTGGGTTAGAGGAAGGAGAGGGTCATATTGGGGTTAATGCCTAGTTTATTTGGAACAGCTGTGTTGCAGCAAGACTAAATGGCTGTAGTCCCATGAGAACCATAAGAATTACCACTAGAAAATAGTGGTGGGTAAAACTTCTCTTGTAAATGTTCAATCCAAAATTGTCAGTTTCTGAATTATAATAGACCTTTTATAGGATACCTGTTCAAGATTCTAGCTTTAGAACATTAGCTACCGTACTTTAACACAGAGTAACGTGGAATTCAATTTTTAAACTACCTTTTAAATTTACTAATTACATGTTTTGCTTTAAAGTGAGTTTATGATCCAAAAAATGAGCCTCCACACTTGCTCCTTTTGTGTATTTCAAGTCATACCAGCTTATTTTAGTGACAGAAGTATCATCCTGGGGTTTTCTTTACTGGTGATCATCCCTGCTAGCCCTCCTGAGCCAAAGCAGCTAAGGCAGAGGGAGGTGGGTTATTTTCTGGCTCTCAGATCCTCAACAGAATTCTTAATTTTTTAGTTATAGCATCTTTGTTATTGGTAGTGACACTGAAAGCAAACAGCTTGACTTCCTGGTCCCAAACTGAGCCCTGGTCTACACTACGAGTTTAGGTCGAATTTAGCAGCGTTGGATCGATTTAACCCTGCACCCGTCCACACGACAAAGCCATTTTTGTCGACTTAAGGGGCTCTTAAAATCGATTTCTGTACTCCTCCCCGACGAGGAGATTAGCGCTGAAATCGACTCTGCTGGGTCGAATTTGGGGTAGTGTGGACGCAATTCGATGGTATTGGCCTCTGGGAGCTATCCCAGAGTGCTCCATTATGACCGCTCTGGACAGCACTCTCAACTCAGATGCACTGGCCAGGTAGACAGGAAAAGCCCCGCAAACTTTTGAATTTCATTTCCTGTTTGGCCAGCGTAGCGCGCTGATCAGCACAGGTGACCATGCAGAGCTCATCAGCACAGGTGACCATGGAGTCCTAGAATCGCAAAAGAGCTCCAGCATGGACCGAACGGGAGGTACTGCATCTGATCGCTGTATGGGGAGATGAATCTGTGCTATCCGAACTCCGTTCCAAAAGATGAAATGTCAGAATATTTATACCTGCCTCTGGAAATTTCCATTATATGCGTCTGGCGAAGTGGGTATTCACCCACGAAAGCTTATGCTCCAATACATCTGTTAGTCTATAAGGTGCCACAGGACTCTTTGTTGCTTTTTACAGATCCAGACTAACACGGCTACCCCTCTGATACTTAATACTATTTAGTCATTTTTCAGAGCCAGACCCATAGTGTAACTTAAAAAAAAAAAGTTACCCTCTCATACAATTCATGTCTTCAAGTCGCTTCTTGGCTTTTGCCCTTAAAAAAGATTGCATGTATTTTTTAGGTTTTCCTGAATGTGAAAAGCCCAGGGTGCAGCCAGCCTTTTGTCTCCAGTGTCATGATTTGTATTTATCTGAGTAGCACATGAATATTTCTTTATGGTTTTATGTGCAGAAGGCATAAGCTGATACACAGTAACAAAAGCTGCCAGTTTTGCAAGAGTTGCTTACGTTTCAGTGCCTGGACACTTAATCTTGCCCTCCGATTCCAATCCTACAGAGAAAATAAAGCCAATTTGTTCCTTTTCATCCTCTAACTTGGAGCCTGATCATGAGTGCTACTGAACACTTTCAGTTCCTCAGCTGGCTTCAGATGAGATGCTGAGCATCTCCCATGACTGGGCCATAGAGCAGTTTTGTTTGATACACTTGTGTATGGTTAAAACAAAGCTGGATGTCAGGTCACGGTTTGCTTTGGCTCTTCTCCTTGACAGCCTGTTGCAATCTTAAACACTTTTCAAGGTACTGGTCATAGCTTATTAAAACTAATTCTTTCAATGTTTACAGCAACCAGTTGGATACCTGAAACCATCCTTATCAATTGTTTTCATCTTTGTGCACAAGTGGGTTTCTCAGGTTTGCTCAAGCATGTTAGGTTGATAATGCATCTCTGCCCATCTTACCAAAGAAAGAGCTTTTTTAGTTAGTCAGTGTTGTTGCCTATTTCTACAGCAATCTTAATACTGCTTTTTCTATTTTCCAATGTCCAGAATTAAGGTCAGACCTATTTCTTCAGTCATTTCAGCAAGACTAGATAGAAGTTCCCTTAACGTGATCCTAGGTCATGCTTTCATTCTGCAGCCATCTAGATATGAAACATGAAGAAATAAGTTATGTGACCAGTGATCCTATTCTCCTGGGTATCTGGTGATTATCTCCAATACCAAATTCAACAAAAGCAGAAGGATGGATCTAGTCAGTATTCATGGTGGAAGCCTCATGTATTGGATAACCCAATCTGTGTCCTAGTATACATAGAAAGATAACGTAACCATGCATAATTGCCAGCCTCAGTTTATTTGTAGTTGGCTATCCACTTTGCAGAATGATATACAAAATGCAAATAAGCAAGAATCTGACTGCCCTGGTTTTGATAACTTGTAAAATATGATGCTTATCCAATAAACGTCGTGTAATCTAGCATTTTGGATGTTTCTCTAATTACTTAATACATAAAGTCTTAAAGTTGTTATAAAAGTTGGTGACAGCCAGGTTACACTGCTAAACAAAAAGCGTATTTAAAATGAACTGCTGCGTTTTGCTACTCTGTATACCTGAGCATTAGCATAAAAACAGGAGTCGTAGCTCACCACTTGCCTGAATTATGCTACTTTACAGATGCATGTAGAAAATGCCTGAGAATATGGAATGCTCACCACACTTGTGGGTTTTAAAGTCTTGCAGTAATATAAACAAATCCATATGAAAGACCTGTTTTGTAGTTTGAACTGTATGATTTTTTTTTTTTTAAGCAGAGGCAAATATAAACT